ATTTGGATAAATTGTAAAAGTAAAGTGGAATTTTTGGATTAAATATATGAAGATATTTAAAGTTCTGATAACATTGCCACATTATTTTAAGTCACCTAGTCCTCCAGTTTTTAAATGGTATTTTAGGCAGAAGTATGTGTAATGGGTTCAGAGGCAAGGCTGTGATACATTTTGATCCTTGAACAATTTATTGGTTTAATATTAACTAAGTTGAAATGAAGGATTGTGTTAACTCTCACTTTACTAAGTTTGATATGCCCATTGGGGTATCATTGACTTCTTTTTCTTTCTTATTCTCCACGCTATTCCCAGGTATAGTCCTAGTAGCTATAAATCCCTATGAACAGCTGCCTATTTATGGAGAGGATATTATTAATGCATACAGTGGTCAGAACATGGGTGATATGGATCCACATATCTTTGCAGTAGCTGAAGAAGCTTACAAGCAAATGGCCAGGTTGGTAGAAGCTTTCATTGTTATTTTATGGCTGGTACTAGATACGATAATTTCTTCTTTGCCAAGTCACAGATATTTTAAAGTGAATGGCAACCTTGTAAGTAGTAAATAAGCAGCCTTGACAAGTTTGTCTCAGGTGGCTTGCATTATTGTTATTATTTTTAGCTCTGACATACACAGGTATTTATTAAACTCTGGGATTTCTCAGGAAAAAATACAGGGCAGAGAAAGGTCCCAGATGATACCACAGCATACAGATCATCCAGTGTGGGTACCACCTTGTCACTACACTTTAAATTTTTCATATTGATTGAGTGCTATCTAAATGTCAGATCCTTTGCTGAGTGTAAGGTAGGCAGGATCATAGGCAGCCAGGAGGTAGAGGGGTCTTAGGGTACATCAGTCATTGTGGTTGAAGAGCCTGGAGCTTTAAAGGAGACCTGAAGCTGATGACTTCCCTATGTCCACTTCTGACTGAGAAAGATTGACACCATTTGTGGTCTGGGCCTGTTTGGACCATTGCGTCAGGGTGTTCAAGTTGTTTCTTGCCATGACAATGTCAGCAGTGTACCTCCAAGCGTCAAAGGCGTGAATAAACTGACAGATGCCAAATCATCTCCTTCTTATCCAGCTGAACAAAGAACTGCTCATCTTCATCAAATTCAAACATATACTCCCCAGAGGGTTTGTGTGTCTGCACAAACTCTGCATATGTTGACACATGGTCTGCTTAAGGGTTCCTATGGGTGTACAGTTCCAGGAGTGTGGAGGGATCCTTCTCACTTGTAAGATTATGAACCCAAGGTTCACGGTTCTGATGTTTGCAGCACTGTGAATGCCAAAGGCAGTCTTCCTCTGATGTTCTCAGAAGATCCAGTCTTTGGGTTCTAGATTGTGAAGGGGTTGATTGTCCTGAGTTGGTGAACCATAAAAAACTTTCTTTTCGTGGTGAAAATACACCTTTTGCCAGCATCCCAGGCTTATGGGTTCCCTTTCCCTGAGTGGGCCTAGCAACCCTGTTAGCTGTACCATAGCCTAGGAGCCAAGCCATAACACAAAGGAAAATCATCTTTTTCTATTTCATGGAACCATAGGCAAAAGCCTCTCAATTTTGTAAGATGCTGGCCAAGAGATTGCATGGGGGAACTAAATTAACATTTTCCTTTCCAGCCACAGCTGGATTATTATTAAATAATAACGTGGGCCAGGCACGATGGCTCACACCTGTGATCCCAGCACTTTGGAAGGCCAAGGTAGACAGATCACCTGAGTTCAGAAGCTAGAGACTAGTCTGGCCAACATGGAGAAACCCTGTCTCTACTAAAAATGCAAAATTAGTTGGGTGTGGTGGCCCGCACCTGTAATCTCAGCTACTTGGGAGGCTGAGGCAGGAGAACCGCTTGAACCCGGGAAGTGGAGGTTGCATTGAACCAAGATCATGCTACTGCACTCCAGCCTAGGCCATAGAGTGAGACTCAATCTCAAAAAAAA